TGCGTACGACAGGGACGCACCATCGGGGTCGTCCGAACCAACATGCTCCACATGCACTGAGTGGGTGGACAACTTTCGGCAGGCCTTTGAAACCGCCACCTCTCTCCGGGAACATTGTCAACTGCTTACACTCCTGCCGTCAACACTGACGAAGAATGAGGTTCAAAAGATGATTCCACAGGCCTCAATGTACCTCATCAGTAAATCCCGAAAACGCAAGGAAAAGCATGGCGTGTGGTATGAGCCGGATCCTTACACGAGGTGCAAGGTGAGCCCTGAGAACCTGTCTGCTGCCCTAGAGTACTTCACGAAAGACGAGCTACAATGTTCGCGCCAAAGTCCCAACCAGAAGGACGTCATCTCTGTCATGCTCAACGGAGAGAAAACGTTCGTGCCAAAACGCTTCATGACACGCTCAATACGAGAGGCCTTCCGTATATACAAAGACAAGCATCCCGATTCCGGCGTTGGGCTAACGAAATTTTATTCGTTGCGCCCTAGATGGGTCCAATGTATTCCACACCAGGAAGTGTGTGTTTGTGTGCGCTGCGCCAATTATTATCTTTGTATTGCCGCTCTAGAGAACGTTACAGGCTCAACATTCAACACTGGTGAAATGAACTCGGCATTTCTGTGCGACCCAGCAACAGAACTGTGCCTTCAAGGAGACTGTGATCACTGCCCAAAAGGCCAGTTTCTTACACTCCAGGAACTTGATATCCCGGAGGATGAAGAGATTGTGCTTGCAACATGGGAGTCCGGCGACCTTGTGAAAAAAACTTTGGAACCTGAGACTTTCCTAAAAGTCATCCAAGTGACGGTTGGAAGTTGGGTACTTCACAACCATATCCGGCAAACGCAAGGTAAAGCGATCTACGATGAAAAACAGTGCATGCAACGCGGGAGCATTGTCTTTCATTTTGACTTTGCTGAAAACTGGACCATCGTGCTTCTTGACGAAGTGCAAGCATATCACTGGAAAAAAAAAACAAGTTTCGATATTTACATGTGTAGTGACAACAAGAAAATCTACAAACAGCTTTGCCATCATCAGTGAGGACCTGTGTCACGACGCCGCTCACGCTTGCTTGGCTCTAGAAAAAGTGAAGGAGTGGGTTGAAGACAACGTTGCGGTATACTCGTACGTGACGTACGTGACGGCGCCGCCAGTCATTTCAAGAATCGCTACCAGCTTCACCAATTTGCAAAGGACGATTGCCCACAAGCCCAGTGGTTATTTTCTGCATCTGGACATGGGAAAAATGCATGTGACGGAGTTGGCGGACTCGTGAAGCACCAGGCCACGCTGAACAACCTGAGAGAACGTTCAGTAAGCGCAATTCAGACGGCCAGGACAATGGTGAGCGTTCTATCAAAGAAACTGAAAGGCGTGCATCTTGTATATCTGGACGAAAATGAGGTTGTTCGGTATCGTGAACAAAAAAAAGAAGAGTGGCTGACGGTGCGCGCCTTCCCTCGCATTCAGTCTTGGCACGCGTGGCAGCTCAGCAAGTCATCAACAGAAGGGACCTGTGACGTATATGTAGCACGGACAGTCGGATCTGCTTGGAAGCAACTTTATTAAATGGGTACAGCGAGGAAAACCTTAGCGTAAAGTGCCGAATTTGATTTCCCAAGGACTGCTCATTTTGAATGCAGGGACATCTTATTTATCACATTTTTCTTCACGGGGTATTTAACCTACTGTTTTTGTTGGTGGTTACTAATAATTTTTATCTGATCACTATAAAAAAAATCCCAAAATGTTATCCTCGAGCAGGATAAGATATATCGGCTTGCCATGATTCATTCATACACCGAGAGCATCGAAGCTGCTCCAGTTAAGCACTATGGCATCCGTCACCTGAAATTGTTTGTAATCGTAAATATACAGCCAACCTAAATATCTTACTATTATATCTTTGTTTTTGTGTGTGGAAGTAAAGTTATTTATTTTACTCTAGATGTAAAATATACCGGAAGGTACAACTTCACACTGCATCATCTTTTCTCAAATCATTAGTCTCTAATATGATACCACTTTGTACGCTTATGTAAAATGCTGTATATAGTTTCTCCTCCCTTTTACTGTGTGACCGATCACTCTTTTTATCAATGACCTCATCTGAATAAATGTATATAAAAGATGTGTGCAAGTTTCATGAAACTGGAACTCAGAGTCACTTCTTGTATAGGACACTGCTAAGTGTAGGCTTTGAAAAAGGACCCTACTTTGGGGAGTTGTTTCTTCTTTCACAGTGCAATGATGCAACATGTTTTTAATAGAAATGAATGCCGAAGTAGAGTATAACAGGGTACCCAAATTTAAAAAAAATCGAAGGTGGTGTTTTTTTTTTATTTGCATTGGAATTTTTCTTTGTTTGATTTTTTTCCATGTTTGCCTAAATATATTGTAACTATTGTGTCACTCAGATACCTTATTTATTTTTTCAATAATAGCCATATATTAGTAAAATAATGTCTGCAAGTTATGTATTAATGATTAAATTATTTCATGAGATACAGATTTCCAAAGTTTGCCATTTGTCGTTCGAGCAGGCATGTTTGGCAATTTTTAGAAAACTAAATAAATTTTTAATAAATATTATTACTTTATATTACAAGCAAGTTGTACCCATAGTTTGTTTGTAAAAAGTTTTAAAATTCTCCTAATTTTATTGTTTTAATTATTCACTTTCAAAGTTGCCCCCTCCATCAGTGCGCGTTATTGCAACTGTCCACCTCTCCCTGCCTTACGATTTTTCTTGTCTCCAAATTTTTTTTCTGGTCAAAACTAAGTGTGGATTCGTTTATACCAGACACTAGACAATGTCATATAAAAACATCAGTTGATTTAAAAATGTCGACCAGCCACCCTTTGGTCGATCTTATCTGAAATCACCCTAAAGAGGAAGATGACAATACTTTTCTTTTTACATCTACTTAGTTATGCGAGCTCTGCTACAGACTGAGACTCCAAGTTAAAGGCGAAACGTTTGTTATTGATGTGCAGTTTGTTAAAACAAACTTTAAACAACATGTTTAGTCTCTTTTCATACTCATAAAGCTTACTGCAGGTAAAGCGTACAGACTCGGGAAAATCGTCGCAAACAGCGAAAGGGGTATCTTTCAGTTTGAGTCGGGCAGCCAAAATGCTCTTTGTTTTCAAGTCAGGTAAACTTGACGATAATTGGTCTATTTTTATCTGGTTGAAATTTCCCTGAGCAATAAGATCTTTCTATATTAGAGGTATCCAGCTGTACGCCTACAATGTTTGTGCAAAAGTCGATCATTTTTCTTTCCGATTGGCTCCGTGTTTGCACTTAGTCATCCAGGCAGCCAAAAAAATAACAGATTCAATCTTCGAAGCCAGTTTTCGTTATCTTCGCACTGTTTCGGTATATTGGCTAGTTCGACAGACGTATTAAGGATGGGTGAAATCCCAGATATAGGGCTCGTCACATCTAGCCTTGTTGCTACTGCAGATAACCTGGTAGACAGTTGCTGAACAGTTGCGTCAGTTGCCTTCAGTCCACTTTCTGAGGACGCTACTTTTGCCAAACTCTCAGTTTGTGAAGCTTCAATTCTCTGAAGTGTTGCAAGAATGATTTCTAGATGCCTGGGACCACGGGCTTCGGTCAGGTAATGTACTGCAAGCTTCGGTGGGGTAGTAGCGGACAGGAGCAGCACCTGAATGAACAAGTGCCTTTTGTCGTGGCGTCAGCAACGATGTCGAACAAGGAAGTGAAGGAGCCCGGACGAGATCGTCCCTTCGGGAGCATCCGATTTGCACTCCTGCGGCATACATGTGCATTGTATGGCAGTGTTTACCGAAAATCGCTTCGATCTGTGAGGTTCGTAGAAGTGGACGGCCGGAGTCCAAGATCGCCAAGGAATTCAACATTTCGGCATCGACTGCTCGACACTGTCGACGATCTTGGAAAACAAGCAAGGTGTATGGGACGCGTCCGAGAAGAGTTTCTCATGCAAGAGAAAGTGTGCCCGTGATTCGAAGATAAAACTTCGCCCACCGCTTTGCGCACGTTGAATTTTCTTCCTCGCGCATTCTCGCCGATCCAGCGCATGATTGCCAGAGCTGCAACAGTCTCTACAGGAGTGTGTGCGAACGCGGTGAAGCCACCGAGAATAAATTAGACTCGTTTGCACTTGTCGATTTGGCCATTTTCGTTGTTGCTCCTGCCCCGGATGCCGCGTTCGTAAACGGAGGAACACATTGGTTCAGTCAGCCTAGACTGAATGCCAAAGCCACATGAAAAATATGAAGATAGTGTAATATTGGCACCACCCCACTTAGGACTTCACAGTTGAAAGCATGATGGAACAGAGCTAAAAGGGTAGTGTAATAATTTTAATCTTGAAAGAATTCAGTTTGTATTTTTTTATATTGTTTTTTATAGGCACAGCTAACAAACAAAATGTGCCACCTTGCTCCCAAAAAACAGCTATTCCGCTGCATAATCGCAAAGGAAAAAACCCAATATTTGCCGATGTGCAGCCGCGTTGGCGGTTTCGGAAACTACAATGACACGTGACTGGGGGACACGCGGAAGTCAACAAAGCCTGTCCCCCTCCGCTGCTACAGCGGAGGGGGACAAGGGGCGACCACTGATCCATATAGAAAACGTCCAAAGCTGTCACCTTTGTGTATGTTATGTTGCATGCTTGAGCTTTTTTTTTTCCCTTTTCTGCCCAGTTGCCCCGTTTGATGCATGTCTTTCTACTTTATGTGGCGTTTACGGCGTTGCACCAGTTTCCGTGGTTGTCTTAGAGCAATGGCAGGCAAGCAACCTAGAAAGATGTACTTACTTTAACGTGTTTTGAAAACAATACATATCACTTTCTGTGTCATGACATGCATGAAGAATTTAGGTTCTCTGGCATTCAAATTTTCCCAAGTTTGGAGTCAGCAGTATGACTGTCACATCAGCTACTTTGTTGAAAATATTCTGATGCATTTGGTCTTGATTGCACTTTTACAGATAGCCACAACGCAAGGTTTCATGAGCACGAAGTTTCGGACTATTGATCCTTACCTTATTTATACACCTGCTCAAGCACTGACCAAGGGGAGTTTTCTTTCAAGGATGCCAGAAGAATAAGTGAATGAAGAAGTGTTTCTATCATGTTAATAAAATATTTCTTATGTGTGTTATTGTGTATAGTGTGTAGTTTTGTTCACTCGCCTTGTAGATGTTAGTTGAACAGGTTGGAAGGAGCTCAATTTATTAATTTTTACCTGCGTTTCCAGTCACGATCAAACATATTTCACAAAGTTCCTTTTGTTTTAAGAAGTTGGAACTTAATGAAAGTTCCTCTAAGAAAGTCTCCTTTCTGCCTTTACAGGACAAAAAATAAAAACATTTCTTAAGACCGCAACATGTATGATGGTTACACTTACATTTAAAATCAATGGAAACCTTGCATAGTGTTAAGAGCAAACAAAAATCGAGATTTAGATGATAATTTTAATTATGACTTAAATTATGAATTTACCTTTTATGACTTAAATGACGTTTTTCAAGAATAAAAGATTCAGAAGGCCAATATTATTATGGGAATTTTGCGTAAATAAAATACTAATGTCAAGGTGGAGGGAACAAAGTGACCCTCTTTTGTGGTAAAGAGAAATTGTAACGTTGGTTTTCCTTTTACACTTTGTTGTCATAGCTCGTTATTGTTGAGATACGAATTTAATACTACAAGTAAACAGTTTTCCAAGAAGTAGTGCGCGACCCTCTCAAGCCTCCCTTGTCAGCTTCATTGGCGGGGAGAATACAAAACGAGGACTCTCGGCGTGGTCGGCTTTGAAACAATGTGTATAGACGAAGTTTCGCGAATTTTAGTGCTCTGATCCCCTTGCCCTTTGGCCTTCCACCCTGCAAGCACGTGCGAGATCGTGGCAAACGTCGGCGAGTTCGTCCGTGATGATCTCGTTAATCTCGTCGTCGCTAGAGCTGGTTGCGAGTGTGTCGAAGCAAAATGACCAGCTTCCAACATCTTTTGATAACAATCACTCATCGCTGCTGCAATAAGTGTCAAAGACTCGGACAGAATGAGTGAAGCCGTAGACGCCATCTTCTCGTAACCGCGTGCTCGTAACGCGGAAGATAAACAGGAGTAACATTGACGAGGAGGCTGATGCGTCGCCATCTTTGTCTTCTGAGCTGTGAAATACCTTCTGAGTATGCGCCGTAGCCCTGTTGTGCGGTATATCAGACACTGCGCATGCGTCCGCAGCTGAGTAACTCGGCATTTTTCGCTCGCGTGATCAGCGCTGGCGACGTGATGTTTAGGCGGCGTCACCTCGCAGGCGTTCTCCTGTAACGGAGCTGGGGGGTGATGTTCGACAAATGTTCCGTTTCTCCTAGAAAGAAACGGAAGTGACGATATCGCGTCTGATCGGTTGGAGGCTCAAATGACAAAAGTTCTCTCTTTTGTCATTTGAGCCTCTAAAAAATCAGACGCGACACCGTCACTTCCGTTTCTTCTTAGGAGAAACGAAACATTTGGCGAACATAGCCCCCCTGGTAGAATGCAAGGAGACGACGCGCTGTCAAGCACGGAGTGGCTATGTTAGTTCGCATCAATGCCGGTTTTTTTATGAAAGAAACTTGTATGACGTTTTTGCGACCGAGCTTTCTAATGACTAACAGCCCCTTGAAGTTGATTTTTATATTTAAAAACTTTAAAATGCTGAGAGACAAGCCTGGAGCTTCACATTACAGCTTGCGCTGCGAGTGCCAGGACTATTCACAGCCTCTTTGATTCTAGTTTTGTTTTCGGATCTGAAGGCTACTGTAAAAAAAGGTTTTGCATTCACCAGAATAAATGACGTGCTGCCTTCTTAACTGTGCAAGCGCGCACAGTTGTGTTGCAAAGCACCGCGCACTTAGCTACATTGAGCTTGCCGATACCGACGCTTCCATCCAAGTGTGACTCGACAGTTGCTGACCTCGTTAGGAACTGACGGTTAGCTCCTCCCGCATCGAATACGTGGCAAAGAAGCTTGTTACATTGCGACTTCTGCTCGAAAGAAAAGCAGAAATATTCACAAATTCCTAAATTGTCGGACATGGCCTGGCGAATTCAGGCGATTGATTAATTTGTCCTATCCAATTTTTACTAAGAATTGTTTACAAGTTTAAAATCGCTCGCTGAGAAGAGCTTCATGCATTATGGCCATTTGGGTCCGCAAAATTAAACATACGAACGGTAGTAATTTATAACAGGCTTTGCCGCGCGTTAGCCTATTTTTTTTTTTTTTTTTAAGGGGGGGGGGTGGATTTACTAGATTTAAGACTTCGATCGCGACGGGGTCTCGCACGTTTCGCGTCGACAGCGTGAATAAGCAGGGATTTCATTGAAACGACTCCGGAAGCCAGTCACCGTTTCTGCAAGGAATTTTGAGGAAATTTTTGCCAAATGTTTGTTTACTGGTTTACAAAATTTAAAAATAGTCAAGTTGGAACTAGTAAAAGACCAGCACTTACAAAACACAATGGAACCAACAGGATACACGGAGTCGCTTTCACTGAAGTGTTTACTACACTCGCGGAAGGTTCTCGAATTTCGCTTTCCTTTTTTCAATTTGATGAGACATTCTTTTTTCAGTTTTATTTTGTCCGAATCATAAAAAAAAAGAAAAAAAAAACAAAAAAAAAAAAACACCCTATTTGCTGTGGTAGATGTAGTGGAGTAAAGCGCTGGATGTTCTATTTTCATCATCCAGCTTTTTGTACTGGGCGGAGAACAGTACACCACCATCTGATCGCTTCTACACCTCAGCGCCAAAAGTGTTTGCTAGCATGACTACGCGTGCCACGGTTTCAAGCTTTGATAAAACGTCCTACTCCAAATATCACTTCACTAAATAAACACAACGCGTAAAACAGGCTTTGCCGCGCGTTAGCCAAGCAGCGCATGAAGCGAGCTGACGGGCCGAGGGATCCAAGATATCCGCGGTCTGTCCTAGTCCCTCCTACCCGTGACGCCACAAGCGATGATGATGATAGCTAGAGAAGGGCCCCCTGCAGTCCGCGCACGCCGCCATACGTCACCTGGATCCCTTCGCGATCCCTATGGAGAGCCTGCTCCCACGTGGTCCGTGAGCCTCACTGGGCGGCACTGAAACTCGGCTGCAGCAGACTGCTTTACTCTTAGAGTCCCAGTCACAAATCACTTCCTTTATAATCTTGTTTCACTGCTCCGAACGTTCATTTTCTCTGCTTTTCGCGCATCACTGCGTTGCAATTTACCGATAACCCGAGCAACTATAGTAAGTTACAGGTCAAGAAGGTAGAGGCAAATGCTCCTCCAAGGGAATAATATATCCCTCCGCCACCTCCGCATCCAATAGCGTCCCATCATTTCAGTGACGACGCGGGCAACGCGCGAGGAGGGTCTTGCCTTTCTGTGCATAATAGACCATATGCAAAAAGAAGCGCCATCTAGTGTATTCATGATCAATTATCACATTTCCCCCATATTGGGGGGTTCCCGTAGCGATGGTTTCGCCCGTTTCACAATATTCATGGCAAAATGGAAGTCTTAGAACTACAATATGATCACACTATGCAAGTCCAGTTCGAACCCTTCACACACGTCTTCGAAAAATACCGTTCATTGACCTGGATGGCCCAGTTAACTGCTTAAGTGACGACTGTTGCGACTTGGTTCATGACGATTCCTTTTCCAGAATTTTGCGGCCGTCTTTCTTCTCTGCTTTGAACCGAAACTAACCAGCAACCGGTTGAGTGTACAAATAAACTCCCCTAACATCATGAAAACCGAGATTAATGTAGATGCGTCTCGTCCACAACTGGAAGATGCGAAAAAAAAACCAATATGGCGGCTCCTAATGGCATGATGATGATAGCTGGCAAGGATTTTGCATATGGCCTATTGCCTTATCTTTCGACTTTGACTTAGCATTGTGGAAGCCACGAGAGGGAGATTAGAGTTTTCTCCCTCCGTTGGAAACAAATACGACTTTCGGGGATTAGGTTCCCCCTCCGATGGATACAAAGGCTGCTTTTAAAGGCTCGGTTCCAACTCCGATGAATACAAAGGTCGCTTTCTTAAAAAGTGGGATCGGAGACAAGTTGGTATCACTCTGTCGCCAATATCTATCCATTGAAGCGGAACAAGGTGCGTTTTCACTGAACTCTTCTTTCGACTGCGGAAGGATTTGAAACGGGCGCATCACGCTTGTGAGAGGAGCTCCTCCTACCTTCTTGACTTGTAGCCGACTATAGCTCCTCCTGCTCTCAGTGGCTTGCGCCGTACCACGGTGTGTGGAACTACGCTTCATTCAATTACATGTTAAATTTAAAAAAAAAAAAAAAAATCTGCACAAACCGCCGTATATATGTGTACTCATTAGGAAGGTGAAAGCTACTGTTTCCTCTTGAGGCGCCTAATCTTTAGTTCTGGGTGGTAATGTGGTGTCTTTGAAATGCATACTATCTACCCTGGAGCCCACAACATTTTTGCTGGGAGCAATAGATGATTTCATATGAAGCAGTGAGTCCACGCCGGAAAGCCAAGGCAATCAGCAATTTCTGGTGTCTGCTTGCGTGAAATGAAATTGGTAATTTTTTCTGCCATGTGCTGGGGTGGGAAAAAGGGGGGGGGGGGGGGGGGGGGCAATGTAAACGTTTATATTAGTTACCGGGTGCATCAATTCACGGTCATGCTTGCACGTCACGGCCGTGGTCTCAAGCCGGCTTTCGCGGATAAACTTAATTTTCCGTGGATTTCTAAAAGCATTGCGCTTTTTTTTACTTCATTGATCGTACGTTTTTTTTTTATTACAATTACTTTGCTTGGTTACTTTCCCTGCATATATATTATAGGAAAATGCCATATATGTTTACTTCGTGTACATCTATATGTTAGCCAAATACAACAGTTATTAACATTTTCGACACAACTATAGACATGTCTTGAGGAAGGAAAATAAAAAGGTGAACATTTCCAACCGTCGACTGATCCACATGAGGAACTCAGATGCCATCCTTAAAATCTAAGGTCACAATAAGAAAAGAAAAATATTGCCTTGACTTTTAAAGATCGGAAACCTAGCTCTTACCAGCCTGAGAGACATAAAGACACACCGATTGTCAACTTCAATTAAAGATCATTGCGGTGCGT